AGGTTGTCTCTCAGCCTTCTCTGCTCCATACTTTGAAGAGTCCCAGGTTTCTCAGCCTCTCCTCGTGTGGGGCTTGCTTCAGGTTCCGAATCGTCTTTATTGTCCTCTGCTGGACTCTTTCTGGGAGATCCCTGTCTGTTTTGAAATGAGCCCAGAACTGGACACAGTATTCCAGATGTGGCCTCAAAAGAGCAGAGTAGAAGGAAAGATAACCTCCCTTGACCTGTTTGCCACACTGTTCTTAATGTACTCCGGGATAACATTGGCCTTCTTGGTTGAATGCACGGTGCTGGCTCATGGCCAACCTGTTGTCCACCCGGACACCCAGATCCTTCTCTGCAGAGCTCCTCTTCAGCTGGTCAGCCTCTAACCTGTACGGATAACCTGTGGTTATTCTTCTCCAGGTCTAGGAGTCTACACTTGCTCTTGTTAAACCTCATTAGATTACGCTCTCCCCAACCATCCAGTCTGTCCAGCTCTTACTGAATGGCAGCACAGCCTGCTGGTGTGTCAGCCACTCCTGCCAGCTTTCTATAATCAGCAAACCTGCTGGAGATGCAGTCTATCCTTTCATCCAGGTTACTGATGAAGATGTTGAACAAGACCGGACCCAGTACCAACCCGTGGGGAACACTGCTAGCTGCAGGCCTCCAGCTAGACTCTGCACTGCTGATCACAACGTCTGAGCTCTGCCAGTCAGCCAGTTCTCTATTTTTTTTTTCCTGTTAATGTGGATGTCAAGAGAAAGAGAGATGTTAAGAGGATTAGTTAAAAAAACAAACAAACAAAAAAACCCAACACATTTATTCTATGTACCAAATAAATAATTTCTGTGTTTTTTGTTTCTGCAAGCGGCAAGTTAGTGTGCAAATAAAACCACTGCATTCTGTCCACAGAGTCAGAGAGAACAGTGTGGTATATATATTTCTTTCTGTCCAAATGTCAGTGGTTACTTTCTTTACTTCTCTGGCAGTACTGCAAGTACCTTTCCTGGAATTGGGTTACTTCTTTAATTCCTTCAGGTGCAGGTCTGTTGGATCAAGAAGTCATGTTCTAGTTTCACAGATAGTTTAACGTAGTTCTGGAGATGTAATCAATGTCTTTTTGTATCCTTCAGCAAATATTTTCACATGATGTTTAAAGAGTCTTGGGTTTTCAAATGGCTTTGCGTGTTATTCCATTTTTCCAATTTCTGAACTAGTAAATATGCATGCTTTTGTAGAAAAAGAAGAGTAGTGTCAATTTCTAGGTTTTTTTGTTTTACTATTGCTGGTGCCTGTTTGCCCTTGTGCGTCCATCTACCAGATCACAGAAGGTGATCTGTATATGTGAAAAATGTACTATTATTAAATTTATGCCAGCAAGGAATGTTGATGAAAGAACTAGGGGTAAAACCTAAACAAGAGTTGATTAAAGTCTGAATTCCATGAAAGTCTGAAACATGGTGTCACACTTTAGTATGTGCTGTTAATGCTTCCACTTTGATAAATGCTTTATTTCTATATTTATGTAAATTTGTGCCAGATTTGGCAAAGTTTGCGTTGGAATATTATTGATGTTTCAAAGGAAACTTGAAAAATAAAATTGGAGCTAAAGTACATGTCTGTTTATGGAGCTAAAATACATGTGTGTGCACGGACATCTGTAGGTAAAATTCAAAATATTTCATGGTGAAGGTATATACAATGTATGATGTATTTTGACACTTTGAAAAATGAAAAAAATGAAAACCTTGCCATTGAAACCAAGTTTCAAAGTGTGACTGCATGGAAAACTGCCAAATGTGGAAAAAGAAGTGCAGATAACAGTGTTAAGTGTATTGTGATTTTCTGTTATCTGCGTTGTTTAATTCTAAATAAGGTATTTCAGGTTAGGTTTACAAGGTGACAAAGAGAAGAACTTCAGTTGGAAGGAGTTTTCCTATTTGAGGAGAGGAGGCAAAGAGCAAGAGATATCAATTTAGATGTGTTATCACTTAAAATAATTCACAGAAATGAGTTTGTACTTAAAGACCATAGAAACAAAAAAAAGCAACAAGTTTATTTACTTTAAACACCTCTTGGAAAACCAGATATGCGAAACTATATATTAAGAAGATGAGTTTCTGTCTGCGGTTGCTGTCTTTGTTTTTATTAACCTTAGAAACCGATTTTCAGATATATTTCTCAGAATGCAGAAGAATTATCTGCATGGTATTTCATAGGTAGGGCTATCTTGTTGTGTAGACTTAAAATATTTCCTTTCACTTCTTGTGCGTCATAGTCTCTGTACTTTCCAGAATGATATCTGCCTGAGTGGAGCATCACGTTTATAACTCTTACACAGCCTGTGATTCAGTACAGCTAAGTTCTTTTCTGCTTTATTACTCATTAGTTGACTGTTTCCCTTTTTTTTTTTTTTTTTTTGAATTTGTTTATCTCTTTCAGACCTATAGTATTTTGTTTTGCTTTCCTCTGAATAGACCATATGTGGTTGGCTTTGGAATCTCTGATTGGCAGGCTCACCTTTAATTGCAGCTATCTCCTACATGCTCCTTGGTCCCCTGGCTTGGTGGCACTTACAGATTCTTTCAGTATTCTTCCAGTTGGGTACCCGCATTATTAATGGAAATATGAAGCAAAACTTGATGCAGGACAAGTTTTAGCTGACTCAACCTGAAATGCTTTAATGCTTCCCCTGTATTTTTATTTTTATTTTAAACTAAGCCATGGTTTTAGTACTCTGAAAGAAAATTATCCAGCAGTTACACTTACATACAGCAGTTATTTCAGAAACGTGATCTATAGATCATGTTGGATGGTGTCAGAGGCATCACTTACATAAACCATAACTGCTGCTCCCCTTAGACATCTGCCCAGTCAAAAGTAAATATTATATTTAGTTTGACTATAATTTCAGTAACTTACATTGATTTCTCCCTTGTTTTTTTTCTTCCAGGGATATATCCAAATTTGTCTTGAGCATCTGAGTTATTTTATTTGTCCTATCACTCCTTAAATTCACTTTCTCCACTCTACTGTTGTTGAAAGACGCACACAATATTCTGGAATCTCTCAAAGCAAATCAGTAACGCTATAGGAATGATTTAGACCAGTTATTTATATACCCCAGTATAGGTTATTGTAGGTAAGTAGGTGGATTAAACTGTTGAAGTTTTCGAATGCAATGGTAATTAAATAAGCAGGTAAAGCACCACAGATTAAAAAAGTAATTTGAATACGTGTGCTGGAAGTTGAAACCATTGTGACTGGAAACTGCTCTGACATATCTAATGCCTCCTTTCATAAATATTTGCTGTTTGACAAATTTATTTTATGAAATACTGAGCTAGTATTTGAGCATCCTTTAGTGGTCCTGCCGGTGATGTGACTCAGACTGAAAACCCCTACTCTGAGAAGATAACATCTTTCTTACTTTATTCCATTCTATGGAATAGAAGTAAATTTAAGCAGTGAGATCAAGACGTTAAAGAGCAATGCAAAGCTAAATAAACAGATGCAGATTCAGTATGGCTTAGTAGATTTTTTCCATGTAAGTTTTCTGATAACTTCTATTTGAAGAACGGGCTTCTGTTTAATCTGTCACGTCTGAGAAAGCACTCTAAGTGCAAGACAAGTAGAAAATAATTCCAAATAGCTGAAAATGTAGTTGCACAGCAGAGCTTAATATTATCTTGCTTTTTCTAACTTGAATGAAAATTTGAGGACATTTTTTAAAATTAAAAACTGCAAGGCCTGACCCAGTAGAATTACATTACTGACTGTAGGAAGATATACTGTTGAGGGAAGGTCGATTTTCTTTTCCATCTGTGCTCTTCTCCCCATTCAGTGGGGATTAATGAACAGCTGGAAAAATCCATGAAGTTAAATACAACATCCTGGATTATGGCATACACAGGATTTCACTGAACATGTTTACTCGGGTGCTGCCTTTGAAAGGAGTGGTGCTGGCACCGCTGTGTGCTGACCGGGGTTGGTTGAGAGGCCTCACACCACAGGGTGGGAGGGAACAGACCTGAGCTCCAGTGTGTAGCACGCATTGATACTGCATTGAAGTGCATGGTGTGTCTTGGCTATCTTGCTGAGTTTAGCTAATGAGCTATTTATTTCATATAAATAGAAGAGAAATAAGAGGGCTGTGTTGCACCAGAAGTTTTGCATGCTTGTGGGTGAACCTGTCCTATGCATCAAAAAGCTGTTCAGGGGGCTCTTGACCTGTCCCAGTTTAAGCCTTTTATTTCAGTGACTTTTAACTTGGACAGATGTTCATGCATTTAGACTTAGTTTACTGCTCTGACTGTCGAGTTTGCTGAAGAATGCACAGTTGGCTTCACTGCCTCACGATTTGCAAACATGGCTACACTTGGCACATAGTAGCAAAGCACCTAAGCCTGCCCTGGCGTGGGGCTGCGGTGTCTGTGGGTCTTCCACTCTAATTGCTTTTTTCAGAAATAAGCTCTGTTAGCTGCAGGTCTCAGCATTGAGCCTGCAGAGACAATCTGTTCTGTATACGTGGTGCTTTCTGTGCTGGCATCAGTGGTGTGGAGGGAGGAAACACTTGTGATTCACATACCAGAGGGCTGAAGAACAGAAAGAAAAAGATGCTTGGCTGGGAGACAGAAGGACAGGCCACTAGGAGGAGAGAAAGAAAAGAATGTAAGAGCAGGAAACCGTTGAAAAGAAAAAAAAGGAGGAGGGAATAGGAGTGAGGGAAGTGAGCAGAAAAGTGGGAGGAATGGGTTCATGAGCACCAGATAGAAATGAGCTGCAGAGGTTCTGGGAACAGCAAAGTGCATACAATTGTTTGGCTTTGAAACGTGTATGTGAAAGTACAGCTGATACAAAAACCTGGGATTTTGTGGCAGATGCTCTTGGTATGAGGTTTCTTTGTCAAGAATTTTGTTCTCAGACTCTTCGGCTGCGTAGCTCTTGAGGTTAGTTAACTCTGAACAAGAATATTTTATCTGTATATTTTGTTTAGTTTTCTCTCTATTTTACCAGCTGCTACATCTTTGAAGAGAGATTTCCTGTGCCCTTCCTCAGATGTCTGTGATACTACCAAGAGGAACTGTCTTTCTGTAAGTGGAACTCTTCTGTGAATAGCACATTCATAATCTGAATTAATTGAAAACACTCATGGTAATGTGTGTTTGCAGAGAAGTCTGAACAGAGTTTAGTATGTAAAATAATTTGTCTTATATTCCAATTGTCTTAACCTCAAATTATGTATGATTTTTCATGGCTCCTAATTGAGAATAATGATAGATGCTCAGGGGAAACTCCTGTTATTTTTTTGCTTCAGACGTTTGAAATGCATAGTAAACTTCTATTCTTAGCTTAAACAGTGATAATAAAAGCAGTACGTGTCTCTGTCAACATTGGTGAAAAATAAGTCTCTGGGGATTTCTGAATGTTTTATTTAATGATGAGAACAGTAAATCTGTCCTGTGTGGTGTCTGAGTGAGCTGTCTTGTATCAAAACATCATTAATTCATTTTTATACTTTACAGCAGTGTTTTGGGAATAAGTACTGGAATGAAAGCCAAAAGCTCCCCTCTAGATTGCAAGAATCACATCGAGGAGTTGATTTATATTTTTTTGGTTTAGTAATTTTGAACAGGAGAAAGAGGGGAGGATCTTGATCTGCTTACTTAGCTTAGTTTGGCAGTTTGATCATGGTGGTGCAGCCGTCAGACCTGTGCACGTATTTGGGTGCTTGAAGATGAAGATGGGCACCCAATGAGATCTTGATTTACATTTATACCATTAATTACTATCAAATTGCGGAAGTAAGGACTTACTGAAATTGCTGAAGAATAGTGCATTTGTTTCTTCAGAAATACAGATTCTTACGCTCTGGACTCTTGCTTTTAATTTAGTTGATCCATGAGTTTTTTTATATATATGTGTTGTATTTGGCATTTTTCTTCAAACTTGGAAAGTGCACACGCATCCCTACAGTCTTTAGGATAATAATGAACTTTGTTGGAAGTCTCTGAATGTGAATTACAGCTGGTAGCTTTATGTTACAGCTAAACAGTACTGTGAAAGATGGGTGCCTTGTTCCTGCTCTCTCTCCCTTGTTTTGGCACTTACCTGAGCCTAAGCTGATGTGACACATCAGCAAAGAGAGGCTGTATTGGTTTTTGTTAGGAGGTAGTTTTCTACTGTTTTCTACTATGTATTTGTAATGCAAGAAAGCTAGTGTGTGCATGGAAAACTGAAGAATGGAGCAGGGGCAGGGAGGAGAATGAATCTCCTTTCTCTTAAGCCCTTAAATTTCTCAGTTCTGGAAGCCAGATAAATGTATCTGCTGGATATGCAGCAGGAGATGAGTAGGGCCAACATTTGGAAGCAGGAGTTGGTTTAGGCGTAACGTGAACAACAGCTACTCTGGGAGTTGCAGGGATTGGGACTGAAAAGGCAGAGGGGTGTGGAAGACTGCTTGGCTCGTGCAGTCAAAGGGGGGACTGCAGGGCTGCATGGCTCGGGTGACAGCTGCTTGGAACAAGCCAGAAACAGCCCTACAGTTCCCCATCCCATGCATGAGGGGAGAGGCAGGGAGGCAGTTTCAAGGGAGGGAGGCTCAGGAACTGCTGCGGTGATCAGTCAGTTTGCAGAGAAGTCAAACCAGGAAAACAAATGGGCTGCCTGTACTGTTTTCTGCTGAGAGGGAACAGTGCTGCGGTTATAAATGCAGGTGTAGGAATCTAGTAGACACAGTAGTGGTAGCAAAAAGTAACAGTTGTGAATGCTATTACTTTTTACATAACTCAAATTTTAAGATTATCAGGGTTTTTTTGGTATGCAGAATTAATGGCAAGCATGGATGGCTTATTTTGTAAGCCTTGTTAATGCTAAAAACAGCAAATAATGAGATTACTGGATCCTATGTCACAAACCATTGACATTTCTCTCCCCTCCAGGATGGGGGAAAAAACAACAACAACAACAACAAAAAACCACACAACAAAAAACCCCCACCCCTCTACTATCTCCTATTTGTCATTAGTTACAAAAAAAAAAAAGTCAAAGCTTTGCTTATTGGTCTGATTGCTCATACTTAAAATAATTTCATAAATTAGAACATCTAAGTGATGTTTTAGGTTTAAAACTGTAAGAAGAAATTTGTGAAAAGGAACTTGACCTATAAGAGGCTTTAGCCTTTATGATCTGATGTAAGTGAATCAAGCAAAATATTGGAGAGCTTGCTTTTTCTCATACCTGCTTTGCATAAGTGTTCTTTACTGGTACCAAAACTGTATTTTGTTTTCATGAATTTCTCTTTCCAGCAATTTCATGTGATCGTTCACTGTTAGTTTCAAAAAAAAAAAAAAAAAAGCACTAGATTTATTTTTAGAAGTTCAGAGTCTTAGGAATGTGACAATATCACACGAGTAGGCCAGTTACTGGAGAAAGAGCCATACACAGTGCAAAATATGAAATAATGAGGCTAATGAGGCTAGGAGCCTGTGCTGTCGCCATTCAGTTTAAGATAGCTGGAAATATAAGAAAGTAAACAAATTATTTGATGAGTTAGCAGTGAACCTAGCTATAACAATTCAAACAGAAGCAAGGACAGCCATCAGCTTGTCAATTTGATGGATGACCCCCAAAGTTGTTTTTTTTTTTTTTTTAAAGGAAATCACTCAAATCTATTGCTTTCATAGCATTTACCAGTGTGTGTGTGTCTGTTCTCAGCTTCTGGCTTGAGAGCCACCAGTGCAATGTAAAGCCTGTCCATCATCTGTGAACTGGAGTATTTTCAGTAACCATGCAATTGAGCAGTGGAAGAAGAATAATTAAATGTCTTATAAAATGCTGAAGAAAACAATTAGCAAACAGAAAACTTGGAGGTCAGTGTGGAAGCATCTTCCCAGTGGTCCTCAGACTATGCAGCATGGCAGTTATCTCTCCAGCTTTTCGTAAGTGAGGCTACCCCAACTGACTTCAGTTACAAACGTCCTTCCTTGCCTATGCTATTGCATCACGCTGTGCAAAAGTTGTATTGTGTGTGGTCGTGGTGTCATGGCTGCCAGAGTTGTCTGAGGTTGTGCATGCTCTCCCTCCCTTCCCAGCCACATACATCTCTGTGATGCATTTGACAACGTTGCCCTTTTAGATGCTTATGTATGATTTAATGAGGCCAGGGATATCAGAGCTTTGTGGAAAAATTGTCTTGAAGGAAGGCATATAGTTTGCCATGAGCTCATTCTAATTACCAATTTTGTCCCAGAATTTTCCTGGGAAAGAGAGGCATTACACCTTGAAGTTAGCCAGTGAGAGATTTTCATAAACCGAGCAAATGTGGCTTTGTGAATCTTTAAGTGCCAAGTGAAGACTTTTCTTTTTTGCTAAGGAAATGCATTTGTGAATGCAAATTGCTTTGCATATGAAGATACAGGATTGTTTATTTAATATTAAATACCAGCATGAATCTGTAGATAATTGTAATTCTGCTTCTCAGTTACTGTTAGCTGAGACATCAAATATATGTTCAGGGTACTTAAAATTGCTCCATTTAAGAATATGCAAACAGATGTGTCCTATTGGGGATGCACTGGTAGGTGTAGGAATTTGCAAGTTACTGTAGCCAGTTGGTTACAAGTTACTGTAACCAGTAATGCATGAATATCCTTCTAAAACAAGAGCCAGTGAGAATCAGGGCTGAGGAGTTCATGCTGGGAGTTTGTGCTGGCTTACATATATGTGTGTGTGTGTATGTATATATATATTCCCCTCAATTTGCCTCCAATTCTATTTTGGAATTGTTCAAAATTGTGGAGTGGATCTGCCTTACCTGCCCCTGAATTTTCATTGCTTATAGTGGTATATAATATTTAGAGAACTTCAGTACAATAGTGCTACCAGCCCCTCACAGCAGGGTTTAGTAAGAACATTAGTACTCTGGGTGCAGATGATTCTTAGCAGCAGCGTTTGTTGTTGGAGAAAGTGATTACAGCTTCAGCATCGTATTGTGACCATCGTGCTCACCATAACTTCAAGTGTAATTGGCTATCACCAAATACTATTGGTCTGTGGACATCTTATCTTTCTTTTATCACTGTAAAATATTTTCTTTTCTTTATGAAGACCTACTGGCTGTCAGAGTTATTCAGATGTTTCTTAAGGTATTACTGTAGCTCTTGTAATGTGTGCGTGTTAAAAGTTAATTTTGTGGTTTGATTTTTGTTTGTTTCTCAACAGAGTATTTCAAAATGTTCTGTATAGGTGCCATATTATCAGAAATGCTGTCTTACCAGTAGAATTTGAAAAAAATCTTGAAGAAGAAAGCACCTGAAGAAGGAATTCTCCTAAAGAACATAAGATCGTTTCTGGACAGATTAATGTATTTTAATCTGTGTTCTATATCTATAATCAGATTTGGGAATGCAGTTTTTCACAGTATACCTGTACTTCTTTTGACCTGTGCTTAAAATACACAGGCAAATCTATACCTAAACAGAACATTTTCTTACCTCACATTGAGGATAAAATGTGGTACAAAGTGTGCTGTCACTGAGGGAAGATATGAGTGGTGCATAATGAGTCAACACATCACAAGTCCATTTTTTCCACGTCTGTATGGGAAGGGAGGGAGGGAAAGTGATGTTTTGAGTGGGAGGCTTCTTTCAGATTTTTCACTTCATTTTAGGTGAAGTCACTGATTTACATTTGTTAATGGCAAAAAATCAGTTCAAGAAATGGTTTTAATTTAGTGAAGCCTTTATATCCTTGATTTTTTTTTTTCTTCTAGGAAGAATATTGTTACAACAGTTCTTTCCTTAAACTTTTTAACTAAGGAGAAGTAATTACCAATGTGCAGTCAGATTTTTGATAAAATACTTGGTGTATTCTTTCATGCGACTTGTTCTATGGAGTTCCCCTAAAATACTCTGAATACAAGTATTTCCAAAATACCGGTGATTGCTTTTTAGTTCAGATAACTTACTGTAAGGTAGTTGGTTAAGAAGACCATAAGATAACATAGTGGGTCAGGCTGTGCATTCATTTACCTTAGCAGCTTTCTTTAGATTGTCATGCTCACTGAACGTCACATGCTTAGAGAAGAGCATGAGAGCAGAGGAAGCATACAATGACTGGTCTTTACCACCTTTTTCACTCTAACTTTCAGCAGACTCTTGAATCAGTGGAAACATATGTACATAATATGCTTTAGTAGATTATGCTTTTGTTGATTCATGTAGCAAGAAACGTTTCTACGGCCTAGTAATATTCTATTCTATGTGGCTTGTACAGATACTGTCATTGTTTTGAAAATTGTATCCATTACTTGCTGCCCAACTCTATGTTGGGAGAAAAAGCAAATAATGATTTCCTATGCCTCTTTTCCATGTTTTCCATGATTTTATAGACCTCCTGTTTCTTATCAACTGTCTGCTTTAGAGCAAAGGGCTCTTAATCCCTGGCAGACACTGAAAGAACTTCCTGCTTGCCCGTTCCTGCTTCCTTCACTGTCATAAATGTTCATACAGTCACACGAAGACACAGATTGAGGGAACAATCCAGGTAAAACGTCTCTTCCCCATCCTTACATACTTCTAACAGTTCAGCTCAGCCAGCCCATCCCATTGTGTGGTGCATGGGCATGTGATGTCAGGAACAGGAATAAACAGATGGAGACCTCCTTAGCTAAGTGGGCTTCAGCTCCATCTGCTCTCTGAAAACTTTTTGGAAGTGTTCTCTCACCTGGTATTAAATGAAGGTTGCTTACTTTGTCATTGATTATACTCTTTTTTTTAAAAAAAAAAAAAGCATGCATAGCGAAATCATTTTCAAACAGTAGGCATAAAGTTAAATTGATCTTATGCTGCAACTTTTTCTTTGGTGTTGACACTAGTTTGATCTTTACCTATCAAACTGCCAACTTGTCATTCAATTTTAGGAATATGGCGCTCCTGAGACTTTAGAGTCTTATCCAACTTGGTCAAAACTGATGTATGGTTCATTGGTGTAATTTGTTTGGAGAGGATGGGTGACAACCGTGACTATTGAAGTCTGACTTGCTTAGGAGAACTTGGAGGGGGACAGGAGGAGATTAATTCTTTATTCAAATGTCAGATGGCTTGTTTTGGAGAATCTTCTTGTGCTTTTTATTTCCTTTTCCTATCTATGTTGCTTTCCTTGGTTTTACCAGTACAATAATCTCTTCAGATCATGCTGAAGATTGCCTCTAACGTTTATCTAAACATGCTGATTTCTTCTGCTTCTATAAATTTCACTGTACAGCTGGAATAGCTATGCTCTGCTAGCTCTACATAAAACAGAGATGCATTTACTAGCTCCATAACGTTTATGCTTCTGGAGCTAAGTCATCTTTGCAGTTGGTGGAGTTTATAGAGGACTGTTTTCTCAGTAGAGAGACTGGGGAAAATACATCATGCAAAATCTTCAGGAATATTATTTCCAGTAAGTCATGAATACCAGATGGCTTTGAAACCTCCTTAGCTATCTGTTTTTGTTAATCTTGCTTTGCTTGCTTGAGACCTCAAAACTTATTTTCCCCACCTGCTGATAAATACAGGGTCATAGGAATCACCATTTTGGGTCAGACCATCTGTTCTTTAATTAGGACTTGTAACAGATGCTTGGGATGACTGTGCACAAGAACCTACAATAGGCTGTTATGATAATAATATACTCTAGGGAATCTCTCTCTGGGTCCTGTTAGTTCAGCTTCTGTTGTAAAGCTCAAAGACACTTGTATCTTTTTCAGGTCTTTATTTTTAAATATTTTCTATTGCGATGGTATTTTATCTTTTGTTCTCTCCTTTAATGTTAGCAAGCTTTCAGCTTTGCAGTCCTGTGTCCCTCAGCAGTGAGTTCCCTGGGTTAACATATGACGAAGTACCTGTTTGATTAATGGTGAACTCATCAACTTTCAATTTAGTTGAACAACTTCTCTGGCTCTGACAGTATTTTGGGAAGGTAACACTCAATCTACCTTTCGTGTCCATTGTCTTGGGAAAATAACTTAATTCTTGCTGCTTTCTCACTACACGTTGAAACTTTTGTGCTTCTTGTTGTTCTTGATTCCTGTCACTGAAAATCCTTCAGCTGAGCTGCATTAACTGGATGATTCAAATTTCCCACCAAGCTTCAGTTGAGAAAACACTGCTTTTGCCTATAAGAGAAAATTTATCTTATGCTGCTGAAGGTGTGTAATTCATAGGAAATACTGTTAGTATCTTAGGTTTTATTTGAGAAAGGTATGTTGCGTTGTAGTAGTGAAGATGGCCTTGCAGGGGAGATGTCTAAATTTGCTACCGTGCTACAGCAAAGTGAAGGGTTCTTAAGCTGCATGTTTTCAGACTTGCTTTGAGAGAGTGTGGCACTAAACTAAACTAAAAGGTGGGGAGAGTTCCTTTTCAGAGCTAGGGGTGTGCCTGTGTTTCTTTTGGCAGTTCCAAATCCAGATCGAGATGCAGAACTTTCCTACTGCAGTGTGAGTGATATTTTAAGAATTGTGACCTGGGGAGCAAATACTGTTTGATGGTAAGTAGCATTGATGTTAACATCTTAACAGCAGCTCCCAAGCTAGGGGTTGTAGGCATGAACCTCAAAAAATTTAGTCTGCTGGGCTTTTTTTTTCTGTATCCTGTGCTGATCTGAAATAAAACTGAGAGCAATTGATGTAGAAATCAGTTGATATAAAGATTATAATTTTAAATACCTGAGCAAAAAGGGATCTTTAGCTGTCTTTGTTTTTGCCTTTTTTTTAATGGGGCCTTTTTTCTCCGTGGAGTACTGTTTCTGAAGTACCACCCTCTTTATATCACTTACATTTTTCTGTTTAGATTCTTAGAAAACTCAATGAACTTCAAGGTGAGTGTAAGTTAGTAGCTGAAAGAATCAATAAGTTTTGAGTGACTGGATGTGAAGGGAAATAAGAAAATTATGAGGA